GGTCGGTATTAAATAATCAGACATCAGTAAGGGATAGGAGGGTTAAACTACTAGAATTTCATAGTGTAAATACCTGGTACCTATTACAGGTCGGTTAGCTAATATCTGGTACCTGTTACAGGTCGGTATATTTAACGAGGCCGATTCTAATTATTTCGGCCCTAGGGATTTTGATAATTTTTTGATAATTTATTTTTTCTGTTATATTTATTGTTTTAGGATTAAAAAATCGAATGTTTACCACCCCGTTTTCTTAGTGGGCAATCTTACATGTTGTCAAACTTTACTATTGGACCCTATGGGAATTTGCTGGAAAATCGCCAAATTATTACATTTTTTCAATATTTTTTGTACTTCTGCCCTAGGGATTTCTTTTTAATTCAAGTAAATGAAAGTAAATGTAAAAAGTCACCAAATTGTGAAGTTTCAAAAAAGTTCACCATCTCGACTGGTCTAGGTCGAAGCCAAATGCCTCTAAAATTGCCATATTACGTTACAAATACGTATCTATGGTGACGTTGTAAGAGCCATTTCAACGTTATTTTCCAAATAATTGTCGTAAAATCACATTTTCAGATCAGTAGGAGTTACAAATAATCTTAATTTTGTATTAAAATTAAAATAATGTATAACTGCATGAAATTAAAAAGCTGCGCAAAGTGATGCGCGCTCGAATTAGACTCGGCCTCGTTAAATCAGACATCTGGAAGAGTACGGAGGTGTAAAATACTAGAATTTATTGTTTAAATATCTGGTGCATGTTATAGATAAGTGAGCGTAAAGCTGGTACCTGTTACAGGTCGGTAATTTATAATCAGACATCTGTAAGAGTAAGGAGGGTTAAACTACTAGACTTTGATTGTTTAAATACCTTTTACCTACTACAGGTCGGCAAGCTAATATCTGGTACCTGTTACAGGTCGGTATGTTTAAATCAGACATCTGTAAGAGTTAGAAGGGATCAAGTACTAAAATTTCATTGGATAAATATCTGGTACCTGTTACAGGTCGGTGACCTAATATCTGGTACCTGTTTAAAGCCTGTTTGTTTAAATCAGACATATCTACGAGTTAGAAGACTTAAAATACTTTAATTTGAATTCATAAATATCTGGTACCTATTACAGGTCGGGAGCTTAAGTTGGTACTTGTTACAGGTCGGTATGTTATAATCAGACATCTGGAAGAGTCAGGGGGGTTAAAGTACTAGAATTTTATTGTGTAAATATCTGGTACCTGTTATAGGTCGGTGAGCTTAAAGCTGGTACCGGTTACAGGTCGGTATTTAATAATCAGACATCTGGGAGAGTCAGGAGGGTTAAAGTACTAGAATTTGATTGTGTAAATACCTGGTACCTATTACAGGTCGGTTAGCTAATATCTGGTACCTGTTACAGGTCGGTATGTTTAAATCAGACATCTGGAAGAGTAAGGAGGTGTAAAGTACTAAAATCTAAATGCATAAGTATCTGGTACCTGTTATATGTCGGGAGCTAAAGTTGGTACCAGGTACAGGTCGGTATGTTATAATCAGACATCTGGAAGAGTAAGGAGGGTTAAACTACTAGACTTTGATTGTTTAAATACCTGGTACCCACTACAGGTCGGCGAGCTAATATCTGGTACCTGTTACAGGTCGATATGTTTAAATCAGACATCTGTAAGAGTTAGAAGGGTTCAAGTACTAAATTTTCATTGGATAAATATCTGGTACCTGTTACAGGTCGGTGACCTAATATCTGGTACCTGTTTAACGCCTGTTTGTTTAAATCAGACATATCTACGAGTTAGAAGACTTAAAGTACTTTAATTTGAATTCATAAATAACTGGTACCTGTTACAGGTCGGGAGCTAAAGTTGGTACTTGTTACAGGTCGGTATGTTATAATCAGACATCTGGAAGAGTCAGGAGGGTTGAAGTACTAGAATTTTATTGTGTAAATATCTGGTACCTGTTATAGGTCGCTGAGCTTAAAGCTGGTACCGGTTACAGGTTGGTATTTAATAATCAGACATCCTTAAGGGATAGGAGGGTTAAACTACTAGAATTTGATTTTGTAAATACCTGGAACCTAATATCTGGTACCTGTTACAGGTCGGTATGTTTAAATCAGACATCTGGAAGAGTCAGGAGGGTTAAAGTACTAGAATTTGATTGTGTAAATATCTGGTACCTGTTTCAGGCTGGTGAGCTAAAATCATGTACCTGTTACAGATTGGTTCGTTTTAATGACGTGTATGAGAGGTGTGATGTTTTATGTACTTGAACCAAGAATGGTTAAATATGTGGTACTTGATAAGGGTAGCTGAAGTGCAATTCCGTACCTTTTAGAAGTACCTAATTGAGGTAAGTAGCTTCTCTTTCTGAATTATACCTCTTACAGGTGGAGAGTTCCATATATACATGTAGTCCCTGTTATAGGTGATTGGCTTTTTATGTCGGTATCTGTTGTAGAGATAGAAATGATCATACCCTGATTCATATTAACACTACATAAGTAGCTTCATAACCTGGTGACTATTACAGTTGATAAATAAACTATGTGAAAGATCTTACAGGTAACTTCATATTCTGATACCTCATACAGATAGGTTAGTACACATGTACCTGTAAGAATTAGGGTGATTCATTATTGTATGCCACAACTGACCTTGGACTTAGACCTACATTTAAATTATTTTAACATTGGTCATAACTTTTGAACAGCTGTGCAAGGGCTTTAATATTTCACATGTGCATTTCTTATAACAAGGTTTTCCCCTGGGTACCTTAACTCTCACGTTGTGTTTGTTTTCCTCATGTTTAGGCTCATATTCATACTTATACTTTTTTTTTTTGATATATTTTTCTTTTTATTTCAGTTGAATGCAAAGGAAGTTCATTGCTAATCCATGCCTTAGAGAAATGTTCTCGTTTTTGGACACATTTTCATGGCACCCTATTTGATCACCGTAGATAATAGTCGGAAGAAACATTTCAATACACATCTATAATTCTTCAAGTTACTGCGCGAAAAACTTTGAAATGACACGCCAATTAAATCAATATTTTTTTGCTCTATGTTCAGTATTTTTTTTTCGCTGCATTTACAAGATCATTGTATTAAGGATGTGAAATAAATTGATATTTTTCTCTAATGTAATTTGTGTGCGCTAATGATCCTTTTTTAAAAATGCCAAATAGAAAATAAAATAATTTCATGTCTTAGGAATTAAATATTAAATGACAATTGTTCGAGCAGTTAGAATGAAAAGGCTAAACTTTTCGTTGAAAAAAAAATCTAATTGTACATGTTTATTTGAAATATTATATGCCGTAAAACTATAGCTATGAACATTTTTGTTTAATTATACCATTTATGCCTACTTCAAACCAATATATGCAAAAAAAATTATATCGACATATTAAAGACGCATTCCGTTCATAAAATCCCGCGTATTGCATTGGCTGGGTGTATCTGTGTGTGAGTGATTTTTTTTCGGTGGGGATATATCTGTAAGTCTGGGAAACGCCACTCAATTGATATGAAGTTTTTTAAAATTAGATTTAATAGTTTATTATTGTATGTGCAGGGGAGGGGGTAATTGATATCTATGGGTCTGGGAAATTGCAACTCTCCATTGAAAAAAACAGGTCTGTACTTTATGTGCTCAGTGAATGTAAATAAAAAATTCTTGGGGTGGGGGCTGTGTTGTATCAAAAAGATTTTTTAAAAAATGAATAAATTTTATATATTGTGTAATGTTAAGATACCCCCCCCCCCCTTCCGCAATTATTTCTGCGAAAAAGACATACAACATGTGTATATGCTCCAAAGATCCCCAATTAGTTAACGGTATTTTCCCTCTTTTAATTATTACGCTTTTTACATACATGCCTTAATGATAAACATTAAAAGTCTTATAGAACGATTTAGTGGAACTTTTCAATGCGGGTAAGATTTTATGTTTGTCACCGTTGTAACGCGAGATAACTCGTACCCACTTATGGAAAGATAACTCCTGCCCGCCGCCGTGAAAGCGGTACCAAATAGCCTCGACCACATTGAAACGGCCGTGGGACGAAGTTAAGATCGAAACGTTAATGTTAAAGTGGTCAATGTATCATCAAATGATATTGAACAATTTATGATAGTTATGTATGTTTTAAATTGCTAAATAACTATGAAATGAACCAAAATACCACGATAGTAAATACATGTTTTAACAATATCACGTGATTTTCGTCCAAGTTATTTAACAAGTGCAAAACAATAAAATGTACATACATGTAAAATTGTCCATACATTTTCCAAGTATAATTAAAAAAATCTATATATTTAATACTAGTGTTACATTCACCTGTTCCTAGCGAAGATTGCTTATCATTTGTGCTTGTACCCTTATCTGGAAAAGCAAAAAAAAAAAAAAATAACAAAAAAAAAAGAATTGTAGATTTTCTGAAAAAATCATTATACTACTTGTATATATACAAGGGTCGATCCAAAAAGTAACGTGACAATTTATTTCAAATCAGCCCTGAAAAATCAAATTAAAATAATTTATACTTTTCAAAATATCGAATTATATAAAAAGTGCAATAATCGTAGTCGCCGCACCAAAATAACGTCATTTGACGGATATACGCTGTCATACATTTGAAAGGTTCCCCTTCCTTTCATTGAATATTTTTGAGATTCACAAACACATATATTTCTTCTTTTTTTTAAGATTTATTAGTAGCCATCGTACACTCACGCTATATATATACTTTACTCCTCTGTCAAAATTCTCTGATCAGAACCATAAGACAAATTTAAAGTTTCTCATATCGGCTCTGTCTAACCGTCTCTTTTTGGAAAACATCTGACACATTGAATGTTTCCACCCGACGTCCCTTTATCGGTCTTTTTATCATCTGCTAATCATTCAGTGACCCATTACCCGCTAAAAATCGCTGAAACCATCTATAAACAAGTCTTGCATACATCAAAATATTCCACTAATATAGGTTATCTTACTTGTTTGAAAAGAAGATGATTTCCTATTAAAGCATTCAATTTCTTCGTTTGTCGTCATATCTATAACAAATATCAAAGTTAAAAATATAGATAACAATATTGTAAATGCATTTTTCCATCACAATTTTCAATTTATGTTCATAATCTTGATGTAAATGATAAGAATTATAAGAATTCTGTATTTCTTTGCAACATTCATGCATATACTTTACCTTCTTCAATTCCTTTCAAGAATAAAATTATAATTTAATAAGGTCTTTCCACCTTGCTGTGGAAAGAACTCTTGAAAGGATTATGTTTATTATTTTATTTCTGGAGATGTTTTAAAATGCAAAACTTATCGAAAAACTTTAAGGGGCCGACTATAGTTTCCATTGCGCAATATTTCGCGCATCATAGTAAAATTAAACGTATTTACTGTTTTAATGCAATTTTTTTGCTTAATTATTAAAATTTAACAAAATTAAGAAATAATAGGCATAAAAATGTAATTAAAATTTGATATAATTGATTTTTTAACCGATTTTGCAATTGATAGGTAGGTTGACGTCGTTGCAGTGTGTTTTTGACGTTATGATAATCTGTAGCTCTTAAAGAAAAGGGTAATAAAAATATTAATAAAGAAAAATAAATATATGCTTTTTAAATTTAAACCATAGAATTTTGAGAATACCGGTATCTCGAATATTTTTATTATGTTTTCATGTGAATCCATTGTGTACGTCATATTTTGTAATACTCTATAAAAATAGTAAAATTTGCTAATTTTTTGCATTTTGAGATGCCCCCTCTGGTAACAAGACAGTAGAATTTTGTGTTTCTTACATATATTGTATATTATAGTATTACTCATCAAATATTATAGTTTGAACAAAATGTCTATTGTAGTATTTGTATAATTTGCTTTAAAGTGCTAAAAATTGGCGTTTTCCTAAAATAATCCTATAGTAAATTTACCTGTATTTTGAGACGGTCCCTCAAAAATACCTGGATGGTAGATTTCCCCAAACTTTGCATATACACTGAAGTTAATGTAAGTTATATATGGTATAAAAATGAAGAGTTTCGCTATTGTAGTTTTCACACAATAAAACTATAGTCGACCCCCTTAAAGAAGATGGGCGCATTTGGCGGGTGATCTGCAGGAATCATTTGTACGAAACATTTATGGTTTAAATGTCCATGATTTGGTTGGCTGAACATACCTGGTCAATTTTACAAACACGTCCATAGGTTATCTTTTTCATATAGTTTGAAAGACATTGTGAAATTGTAACATTTATGTCCAATTTTTTTCTAGGGGGGACTATAACATAGTAATGTTTCAGAAAAAAATGAACTTAAAATATTTAATGCATAGATGCGTGTACATGTACATTATTAAAATAGAATATTATTAGTTACACAGTCAGTTAGTGACCTAATACGGATTCATACAGGGTGTGAAATGGAAATCCGTATTGGGCGAGGCGAAGCCGAGTCCCAATACGGATTTCCATTTCACACCCTGTATGAATCCGTATTAGGTCACTAACTGACTGTGTTACGAATTAATCCCGCTGAAGACCTTTATCAATATAAAAAAATATTTTTTGCATATTATGAAAAAATTAAGTTTTAATCCAATAACAATCAACATAAAATATCGTTACAGTAACAAGAAATTTAACTAAACTACCTACGTAAACCGTTTCTTAGCCGCCATTTTTTATTTACAATAACAATGCTGCGAACGGAATCGCGTGCCCGATTTTTAATACACCCCCTGCTCGGAGACGAAATATTGAAAATTTCAGGGCGTCATGTGATGAGCTCTCATCCAATCAATTGTCTACAAACTTGTCTGAAGCGGGATAATAGAATTTATTTCGCTTGAGAACCAAACTGAACCAAAATTTATTTAATTCAAAGTTTTAATACATCAGTACATAAAACGAAACTGACAAAATAAATGGTTTTTTGCCTGAATAAAAAAAAAATAACGCCCCATGCCAGGCTCGAGCCAAAAAGTTTTCGCTTCGAGTGCACTGAACAGGTAGCCTAACTAACTGAGCTATAACCGCTACACATACACAATTGTTTTTAAAAGGACAAAAACGCACCACATTGACACATTTGGATTTTTTGGGGAAAAGTTCATTTTTCGTGGTCTCTGGGTCTTCTCTCCATTTTTCAAAAAAGTGTATTTCTTTTAATTAAAATACACGCAAATGACGTTTCAAAATCATGGAGAGAAGACCCAGACATAGAAAATTTTTAGAAAAATGTGTTTAAAAAAGTACCAATTTGTACCAAATGTCTGATATGGCCAATTTTCAAGTTATTTTTTTAGCACATCAAAGCTCAATTTCGGGAAAATATTTTCCATTCCCGTTGCCCAGGAACTCGATAAATTAAAAAAAAATGTTAAAATTTCATGTGACATGTCGATAAGATTTTCACTTGTCAATTACGCCCAGATTCCTGCCGAATGCCAATCAAAAGCGCCCTCGTTCTTTCATGCTACTGGATATCAATTTATTCCGAAAAGGACCTCCTACGCCGAAACCGTAAACAACATGCATAACCCAACATCATATGGGGGCGCGGAATGGTGACATCTCGGGGTGCGGAATTTGAAGCAGAATCTTCAATGTTCGTTGATCTGATAAGCTTTCTTAAATTAATTGAGATGAAAATAATCCTAAATTCACTACTGTAACAGGTCGGAGAGAATACCCGTTTCGAATAAGTTTAAAATCACACGACAAACACTGCTGGGGTAACAAAGAGGACACAATGGCTATATTATTTTTCAATATAATTTCTAAAAACAAATAACTACACTTCGTTTGTCTTTATTTCCCATTTTAAAGAAATTAAACGACTAACGCCGTGTTATGTATTTTTGTCTGAAAAATGTATGGAGTCCCTTTCTCCTGAAATATAAATTACTCCTAACAGTTAAAGAGTACAGTATAAGCGAGTCATAATTGTATTTTTCTGCCATAATAGAATACCAACGTTATTATAAAGAAGAAAATAAAATAAGATTAAATAAATACCCACGGAAAACAGTTTGAAAATAGCTAATTGAAGGTGAGTATCTTTAATATGTCAATTTAGCATGGAAATTTTTATTCAAAGACACTGTAAATATTTTGGTTGTATTTTAATCGATACAAGATATGCTATTTTACCTTAATTTTATGCATTTGTGTGAAAATTGAGAGCGAGAAGTCACATGAACAGGATTTTCTTGTTTTTTTTTTTTTGGGGGGGGGGGTATAAATAAAAGTCAAATGTGTACATCTTTTCATTAGCTTATAATACATTGAATTTATAAATATAGATCGAGGTACAGTCATATTGAAATATGAATTACATAGTCAAGTTTTCACATTTCTTATAATTTTTATATTTATGAATATGTTAATGAACAAACTGAAATAATGGAGTGCTGAATTGCATTGGAAAATCTTGTCTTACTTTTTGGGAATATAATTAATTCCTCATCAGACATTAAAATTTCATAAAAATCGTAGCCACTACCTTTCTTTATTATACTATTTGATAGACAGGGTAAATTTTACCTCTTTATCTTCTACATTTTTTTTTATATATCGCTATCTTATTATAGGATTAAACGTTCTTTTTGAAAAATTTATCGATGTGTAAACTCTTGACATTTTACTCACAAACTAAATAAAAGTGCGAAGCACTTTTATGTTAAGTTTGTGAGTAAATTGTCAAGAGTTTACACATCGATAAATTTTTCAAAAAGAACGTTTAATTCTTATAATTCCAATATCGAATTTTTAAAAATATTTAAATTATTTCTCTTTGAGGCCTCCATACAATCCGTTATTTCTTGACGGCGTAGGAATACATTTTACCGTAAAGGAACGTAATCGAGATGAATTTCGATAGAGTTCAACTTAAATTGTCAAAACAATCGATAAATAAACTTATAACAACTAATGGAATGTTGTTTAAGTCAACAAATATCGTAATTACGAGTTTACATCAGAATAGTTCGTCTTTGACCATGGCCATGTTGACATAAACAACAACTCTTACATAGCGAAACTTGCAGACCGACGACGCCTTCAATTTGCACTTGTTTATTCAAATATTGAGGAACAATATAGAAAGTTAATATGAATTTGATGCTTATAGGGCAAGAGTTTGAGGTACGTTTCTTTTCCCTGTCAAAACGATACAGACTGAGCTTATTTTCTACGTATGAACGTTGAGACAGCGATTTTTAAAATTCACACTCGTGATCGGACAGTGACATAAACATTTTCACGGCGTCCATCAGTTAGGCAGTCTAGTATGTTGCCAGTTTTGTTTAAGCCCTAATTAAATTTAAAGTTTCTTGTATTCATTATTTAGCCAGAACAGACCCAGAAATAACTGCTTTCATTGTTTATACGATAACCTAGTAGTGTCATCAAGAAAGTAGTTCTGATTGAAAGAATTTATCGATGTGTAAAAATTTTCTGGAACGTGTTCTCGTCCAATCAAAACACAGGAAATCAATAGATAAAATGAAGATTGGAATTATACCTCATTATAATATGCTACCACAATGCGCAATCTGATTGGTTCTTGACAATATGTCACAGTTTTCTTTAAGTTATTTAATCTATGATACGTATTACTCATGGCAATAACTTTTCCTAATACTAATCTATAATGAAAAATGTGTTTAAAAAAATAAACACGAATTCTAGTTACTTGTATTCTTATATTGTGTTAGAAAATAACAGATTGCGTTTGGTTTACCTACAATGTAAGTGATTTTTATTTGATGAATAAATCTTCCCTACGATTAAAAATATATGACCGAGTTTAACCGACCGTGACATTCAAAGAGAGGTCTCTATTCAATTCAATTCAATTTATTCTCTCAAAACCATGTAAATGGTACATGAGGTACAAAACATATAAAACATATATACATATAATACAGTGGGTCAAGCGGAAGGTGATAATTAAGGAGAACATACAATATATTAATTTTAGAAATAAATGTACATAATTATTTCAAAGAATCGACATCATTTTGGCACATG